GCGAGTATGAAGGTGCCGTCACATATGCATCTGTTAATGAAAGAAGAGCCTTCAGTTTGAGGTCGCTGAAACTTGTATTTCACCGAAATCACTAACTACAAATGTTAAACCAATGGTCTGGTGGTTAAGCGTTCTCACGAGAAACCGAAATTATTAGTAGTCATTTACTGGGACGAAACGGCTGTTCAGTGGTTGTCTAACATCGATCGCCTCATGATTTCAATGAAAATAAATTTGATAGAATTGTTAGAGGTATGATGAAGGGAACTAATACCACTATTAGGAAAGCAAATGAAATTCTAGTCTTTTTTCAAACGACTATTCCCGACTTCTCGCTGTATGTCTGAAGTGTGCTGAGTAGTTGCCACAATGCAGAAGAAACGTTTCTACACATGGAGATGCTCTACCATGACAGACTGAAGTCGGATCTTTTTAGAATTTCAGAAATTTGACTACGCCAGCTCAACTCAGGAGAGCCTAAATTACAACTTAATTATAGTGGCCTATTTGTGTCTAAAAACTCGAACCAACAGTCATGGTCTACTCTAGGTTTTCCTGTAGATCCGTAATACAGTGTAGCATTCCTGATTAGTGTCTGTGGTGGCAAAAGAAAACCGTATGATTTCAATGAAATCTTCACAGTTTTTGTACAAGTTGTACAAGTTGTTGTACAAGTTGTACAAGTTGCCTTAATGCCGGTAAGTGTTGAGTGAATCTGACGGTGAAGTCCCTATTATTTGTGACACTACTCGTAGCAGTGTTATATATGTCGTTGGCCACAACGGTACAGTGGGGCTGTGACAAATGTTTTAGGGACTTGCCTCAATAAGTGAAAAATTCTTCCAAAGTTTACTTTCAAAGTCTACTGAAACAGAGCATATAACGTTATTTGAATGACGAATGGTTTCTCGACCGAAATCATTACATGCAGAGACTCGAGGTTTCTTATTACTAGGCCTAACAATGTAGTTATAGCAAACGGTGAACCTTGATAAATCACACGAATTGTTGCGTGTGGTAGGGTAATGTTTTGTCCATTCAGTAACCTTTGACATTTCTTCACTGACCCGTTTTCCTCCAGTACTATAGATATATTTAAATGATCTGCGTCAGTCACGACCGTACGTGGATTATCATGACAGTTTTACTTTGTAATTGTATCTCAATCCCAACGGAACGTTCTGAGGTTATTATTCCCGTTTTGCATACATTCTCTTGTGTAGGGTGATATTATTTACCAAGGCTGGTCGCATATATAATAGTTCGGTGCATTATGTCTGCACGTTGGTCAGTGCTTCGGTATGATTACCTGTAAAGCTAATACGAATGTTGTGTGTAGTAGTTTCGAAATTTGAGACGCCTTTGCCATGATTTGTAGCATCAATCCAAACAGTAAGTCCTGATCAAAGACAAGGAACGTGAGCACATTTTATTCAGTCCTGGCGACTGTCTGATGAAGAAGCAATTGCTTAACTACGGGAATGATATTCTCTTTACAGATATTCTTGATCGCATAGATCCCGATGGTCGCCATTCCTTGAGACTGTGCGACGTATTGCATCATTATGGTAAGTTGTCATCGACTAGAACTAATTGCTTTCAGATGACGAACCAGATAACTGAAGAGTCGAAGAAACGATTTGATTAGGATACACAATTAATTCGTTGTTAAAGCTGTGAAATGAAAAATCAAACACTTATACACTTTTAACGAACTAGAGGTTGATAAAATGGAGGCTGGATTTGTGCTAATTGAAATACTGGCTGTGAACATTTTGACTGGAAACCATTCGTTAATAGGGACGTTAGATCCCCTGAACTCACTTAGGAAAAGACCTAATTTTCTAATTTAATTTAGAAAATTTGAATTTCTTTGTTTGCCACCATGTTGTATTTCCCACTGGGAAATATCTTAAATGCTATTGGTCCGTCGCGTCTTTTAGTATGCTATTTGGTAACTCTCCACAAGGACGGTTTTGCACTGTATATATACGTTTTGAATTGTGTTTGTTGTTATCGCTTGTTTCTGGCTGTTTTGCAGAATATACTTCCCCATTCCAAGCTTGGACTTCTCCCTCTAGTTAGCGGGGCTGGGACGCATCAATAACTAGCTTACTGGTCTTTGGTCACTGAGCCTTGTTTCTCATTCACAGATTAAGTGAACTCGGGATAGCTTCAACCCTTGCAGATTTGTGCTAATTGAATTATTGACTGTGAATATTTTGACTGGAAATTGTTTGTTAATAGGTAAGTAAGTATCTATTAAGTACATGCTCATAAGGCAATTCATCAAAAACAGAAGTGTTCTAACCATTACTTCCATATTCTTCTACGGCTGCTATTAACGAATACATTAGTCACACTATAACTTGTACCGACAGGTCGCCCACTAAAGATAACAAAATATTGAAAATGATTTGGATGCAATAGCTGACCTGCCCAGCAAGATCGACAAATTGGCTGCTTACATCGGAAGCGTATCCATCATTGTGAAGGACAGGTGTGGCAGGAGCATAGGGACTTGAACTTTAACATTCTCATTAAAAACACCAGAAGAAATGCGCATTGTCTAAGTTTTATTGGGGGAACAAATGTACCGTGATTACTCTGTGAGTTTTGACAGGTATTCAAAAACTTTCAGTGCTCAAATTGCTGGAGATTGTTTGTGAAATTCAGGAATCAGCCTATGTTGATGTTTGGACTGGCTATGATTTACAAATAACACGGATATAAAAACCAGATGGTGTCTGTAACTATAGATTCTGCAGCACAACAATCTTTGCTTATGATCATATGTTCCATGTTCATGGTTCCACAGTGCAACCTGTTCAGGAAAAAAATAGCACAAGTAATAGATGTTGCGAGCCAGCTTTTACTGCATGACGCAAGAGATAAAGTAAGCAAGCGCGGTTAGCGATCCAAAGAAAGTATGAGCTTAATGCAGTTCAGATCTATTATTGAATATCTGTATGCTTTTGTCAATTGCAGTTGGACGGTTATCTTGAATTTATTATTTAGTGTCTTTCACTTTTAACTGGCTTCTTAAGTGCCCAGTAACTTAGCTGTAAGTTATTAATTGAGCAAACATTTTCACACTACCCTTCATTCATAAAACACATTTCACACTTCGTTATGGATTCACAAGTTGGATGCTTGCAATAAGATTAGGCATTCGTTTGTGTACTATTTTGCGCTGTTTTGACACTACGTCGGTTACACAGAAGAGTAACGTTTCTGTTCTTTTCGTAGGACACTGTTAACGACAGTCCGACTTCTACGTAATGAACACAACAAAAACACGGAAGTGGCTTCTAAGAATATAAAGCCGTAAATTGTCGGCAAAATATTCATTTATATTTTTCAATATTTAATATGCAGTCTCAATTACAATTAATTAGTCTTTTAACTATTGCACTGCATATTTACTGCGTTTGTCATTACAAATGCTGGAAAGATAGGACTACTTCGATGAGGCGAATGAACCGTGTTTGTGTGGTCATGCTATATTGTCTTTTAAGAATCGTCCACTAGGCTCCGTGGAAAACCTTTATACAGGCTAGATATATGTGTAGCAACAAAAATATTGGTATTGACAACAATGTCATAATTGTCTTAGAGTTGCGTTATATGAAGAAAGAGAAGGACCTATATGAACAAAACATATTAGTAGTGTAGTAATCACCCAATCGGGAACTCGACATGTGACGTTTTGCTTTCTAGATGTTTCTGGCAAAACGTCTAAAGAACGCTGACTGGACAAGAGGCCTCTCATTGTTTTAAGAGCCTTCCTTGACTTTTTTCGAGGAGTCATCTGAATCTCCACGGAACGGAGTCACATCAATTAGCCACAAAAAGATGGTGATGTTTGAGAGTATGTCTGAATTAGCCTTCAACCAAAATTTTTTGTGGGACAGCTTGTATGGCCAGTGAAATGTCGTTGAGCCCTAGATCTATCACCTGACGTTTCGGTCACTAACTGTCGAACAGTTCACCGACCCTCTTGAAGTTAAAAGACAACGCCATGGACTGGCCCATCAGTTGGTGTTCGCATTTTGTTCCTTGAACCTACTCTTACTAATATATTTCCGTGCTAACGTCCTATGTGTTGTACTGTCCCTAGCTCAGCCGCAGTAGCTGGATACGAATTAAGGGCGATTCACGCTAAGTTCTGACCAGGAAATGCGACTTCAAAGTTGGCTGTTGGTCACGTCATTTCCGCCCTACTCGGTTGAGACCCCAATAACTCGACGTCCATCACTTATATTAGTGTTATACAAACTAAAGTGCTCAAGATCAATATCAACAACTTGCACAGTTACTTATTCTTGGACTTTATTTATCATTATCAGAAGTTCGGAACGCTACTAACGCTACTAAAAATACTTCGACAGATGCATTTTTTTTACTGATTTTAGTATAGCCCTCAGTATGTTTCTTCACCCAGGTCTTAAGTTTTAAAATGAAAATATTTGGAATCGATTGCAGGTGCAGGTGGTTGATTTTTTATTGATAAGAGGTGAATAGTGAGAGCAAACTTTTATTATAGTAGAAATCTATGGAAAGTAGGGTCTCGTAGAAGACAACCCACGCTGATCACTAGGATGGAAAGGGTTCAATGGTGAAGCATCTTTCTGATAAGTTTTAATCTACCACCTCTGTCAGACCACTGTTTATAAGGCGATTTATTGTTGGATCTCCGTTTACAGAGCGATGATAGTGACACTATTATGAAAATTTCTTTCATTTTTTCTCGGACTAATGATCTGAGCGGGCATTCCCAGAAATCAAATAACAACTAGATCGAACTGTCTATATTCACGTATTTGTAAATTCATGTATTGTCTGTACCTGTTGACTTATTCAGACAACCTTAGACCTTTGAAAAATCAAACATTATGAGTATTAACACGGGAACCTAAACTTCTGTTCTGACCTCTGATAACTGAAGACTGGATTATTGAATGTTAAGTTTGTTGGAATGTTTCAAGGCTGTGCTCTTTATACCCGGGTATTTCGACCTTAGTAGTCTGTAAGTTCTTTTAAACTGTACTTCGTATGCATGGGAACTGGTGGACAGTTAAGCAAAATACGCCCGAGCCCTCAAAAAGCATACACTTAACATACCCTGTGTTATGTTGAGTCTTGATTAAATTGAAAATGACTTACTTATGTGCGTTGTTAATTATGGATATAACCATATATTTACAAAGTAAATAATACCAACTATTCAGAAGATTCACTGTTTATCATCTTCAAACCAAGCTTCCTGGTAGTGGCTTTTATTTGTTCATACATGTAGTATATTTGTCCCTAAATATTGATGAAATTCTACCTCCATAGAATAAATGTCCTATTATCGTTTAGAATGTTATTTTAAAAGTTTTACGGATTCATAGTTATTTGGGTTAATAATACTTTCTTAATGTGCCTAAACGTCTCAACTGTGAAGGGTGAAATGTATTAATATACTGTAAGTGGGAATTTACAAAGAAGTTGATGTTTTAGCAATACATATGTCCACCATCATCAAGGTAAGTTTAAAAATTACCCTATTTTTATTCTGACCGCATAGTTAAGATCTCGAAACAGTTCAAGCTAATTCACGCACAAGTGTAATAGTACAAAGGCACTAGGATCAAAGCTACACTTAATTGATGGAAACTGATCACTATAAGTGTTGTTAGTTTGAAGCTCAGCTACAAATTTCACTGATATATTTAAAAACAAAAATTTAAGTTAAGAAGATTTTTTCGAAGTAATCATTTACTAGAGCTGTGCATTCGTATTTATAATTGTATAGTAAATATATTTCATTACAAACACGTTACATGGTTTGTCAGATGAACGTTTTAAATTAAAAAATCACATTGATACTGTTACCAAAAATCGTACAAAAGATGTAGTTTTGAAATTAATGAAAATTTCAGAACCGACGAAGACTCAAGCTTTTCCGGAAACGCCAAGAAAGTTTCGAATTACTCTATTGTATAATTATCTACTGTTCAGCTACAATCATTATCTCGTGGATCTAAACTTTGTAGTACGTCAACTAACATCAGAGAACTCCGCTAACATCTAACTTGGAAGACTCATTCGTCCGGCAAGTGACTTTTTCCCAGTATATAATAATGATTATAAGCATTTCAAAACGACTTGTAGACTGTTGTAATCAATATGTATACACTACCTACAAGTAGATGATTCCTCACAAAATGATGAGTTTATTATCAATCGTGACCTCTCTGAACATCTTAAACCATTGGGTTCCGTCATACCGAGACTATACGAACTCTCAAAAGTTCACAAAAGGAATTCCCCCCTAAGTCCTATACTTGATGTGGATAACTCTCCGTATGATTTGATTGCTAAATGGTTAGGTGATATTTTACAACCCATCAGAAGTCACATCAATAGACAACTGTATTGACTCATTTGACTGTCGACTCAATTAGAATTATCAGTGTTTATGGTAGAAACATGCTTCACTCACAGAAGCTTTATTTTTGTGTGACTACATTGAAAATAACAACCTTGACATTTATATCACAAAACATTATTTAAAAGAGCGACTTATCCGATTTTCTCTCATTATAAAATCCAGATTTATCAATGATTTTTATAGACAAACAGATAGAATTGCAATAGGTTCACCATTAGGTCCCCTCTTGGATGATTGCTTCATGAATAATCTGGAAAATACGGTACTTCGACCAATAATTGGGAAATTTCATTCATATAAGAGATTTATGGATGATACATTCATTATTTGTGAAGGAGATATAAACCTCAATGAAATTTTGAATCGGTTCAATAATTGTCATCGCTCAATCCAATTCACGTTGGAAGCGGGTTCGAACGAGAAACTTCAACTTGATGCCCGATTGAAAAGGTCAGATGGTTGTTTACAGACATCTGTATTCAGAAAACCTACCTGGGATAGTCAGCATGCGAGTTTTCATAGCTTGGTCCCACTGAGTAGAAAGAAAAACTTCACTTCTTATACTCAAGGATCAGGTAAATATGTCCTAATCACGTTATAGATGATGAACTACATCTTCAACAGACTCATCAGAAATGGTTATCCACCTAAATTCGTCGATAAGAACTTGACACATAGACATCATGAAAAAGCACCAACAATTCGAGAAAAAACTTTCTATGAATATTGAATTCAAAAGAGATACGGCTGCCGAAATCTTAAATGGACGGATTTCAAAATCACTGAATAAAATCTACTCAGCTAAGCTCCACATCGTCTTCTCAAGCTGGCCTACCATCCACGGATATGTTAAGGATAAACTTCCTCTTTGGGTCTCGTCAACGTTCATCTATAAAGTTACTTGCTACTTTGAGACAGGTTACATTGGCCTCAAAAAGCGATCACTTCATAAATGTATCTCAATATTGCATTGCGTGGCTTTCAAAAGAATGTAAAACAGTTACCATTTCAATACAGAATATCTAATTAACTCTGGACACGTCGCTTCGAAGGGGTCTTCCTTTAAAATAATTTACACAATCAAAGGAACTAGATCGAAGAGAAGTCGAATCAAAAACTTATGTGCTACTGAGGCGTTGGCGATCTACTAATTTAAATCTTAACTCTGGGTACAAAGCGTCCAACCTCTCATCTTTTCTTGGCCCTAATTCCCTTCTATAGTATTTTTTGGTCCTGGTTTTTTATATTTGTTTTTAATTCCAAATTGTAATCAGTCATTGTTACAATTTGAACGATTTTTATGATTATTGTTCAGTTGTTTTTATGACCTTCAGGTTTTTCGTTTTTATTATCTGTCGAGCGGGCTATTATTCTCCATAATTCTGACCCGTAAATTATCTTCGTTCCTATATTCTCGTCTAATCCTGCTCTTCAAATTTGCTATCGATGACGTCCTGGAAACAGCTCTGATGGATGCAGATAATGGTGGCGTGGTTCTGTTGCTTAGACAAAGACTTCGACTTTAAGCTTGCAGACGATATTGTCTTACTGTGCGATAATACTCATTCCGCACTTGATCAGTGTTCATAGGTATGGCATGTGCTTTGCACCTTCGAAGTGCAAAGTACCTTTACAAGACTGACAGGACCCCTGATCCTGCACTCACCCCGGGTAGTGAGCAGATAGAAGTAGTTGAGAAGTTCGTGTATCTAGGCAGCTGCACAGATGCTGGTTGTGGCGTGGATAATGAGATCAATTCACGTATGGTGAGAGCCAGAGCAGCTTATGCAAATCTGGACCACCTTTGGTGCTTTCGTGATGTCAGTCTGAGTGCAGAAGGTTGGATCTACAAAGCGTTTGTGAGAGCAGTTTTGCTCTATGCTTGTGAAACTTGGCCTCTCCGAGTTGAGGATGTTAAACGGCTCTCCATGTTTGATAATCGTTGTCTCTGAGGCATTGCTAACATCCGATGGCAAGACCGTGATAGTAATAAAGAGATTCAGCAATGTGTGTTCTGGCACAGATACGATAACTCAATTACTATCTCCATCTTGAAACACCGATTTTAGTGACTTGAACATGCACTACGAATGTCGTTCCATCGAATTGCACGTCGTGCATTATTTGTGGATGCTGGAACTTATCAGAGACGGTGAAGTGGTCAATGTATGACATTTTGTCGTGGTATGTAAGTAAAGTTTACAGGATTGAATTCTGTTGGTTCTTCACGACTCTCTGATTGGGATTCTTGAGATGGTGCAACTCAGTGGCTTAAAATGTTATCAGACATGGCTGAGAATAGAAGTGAATGAAATCATGCTGTAATATATATTTGGTGCCCTCTTGTACCAATATTTATGTGTTCAAATAAAAAAAAATAAAATTTACTTCCTTCATAGGAGTCAGATCAACTTCTTTAACTGAAAGGATTCTTTCTGATTGTATTTTTCCATTATTATTGTTATTATTATTTCTCAATCATTTACTTGTTCCTGTTCTTTTTTTATTATATACACTTCCATTTCTTTATTTCTTCACAACCTCACTTTCATTGCGTAGTGTGTATGTGTTTGGTGCTCCCTTGTATCTATGTTTGTGTGATTATTACGCAACCTCATTTGATATTTAGTCTCGAATCAGTTTATAATGCAATATTTTTTATCCTTCTATAGACATATTGACCATACAATTGTAAATACAAATGTACAGCTTAAGTAAATTATTTCATCGTAAAGATTTTATTCGCTGAATTATCTTTATTTTTACTCAATGAAACAAAATGTTATTTTAATTAACCGATGTTTATTTTCTTCTGTTTTTTTGGCGAAGTATAGTTTTGTTGGGAATAGCAATCTGTCCGACACTGTGAGTAGCCTAACATTAGTGTGGATTTTATGACTGGAAAATATCGACCCAGAACCGATCTGTGCCAACATCTGCTTTAGCGATAAAATGGTTTGAGTTACCTACTACTTCACTAACTCGTAGCTGTATCAGTAAGAATGTTTAACTGATAGAAATTTCAGTATCATTGAGAAAAAATACTACTGGCGTTCCTAAATTTACGCAATCTATAATAGTGAACTATCTAATTCACTAACTAGTCCTTGGTACTGTGTCTTAAGTCGTAGTTTTAATACATGACCGTTGGTAGTGGATATCAGAAAACTGTAATTGTTGTGTCATATAAGTACCATGAGTACTATCATGAATGAGACTTCGATTTGGCTAAACCTTTTTAAAATATTGTTTAAAAATTTTATACTTTGATATTTTCGGTGCTAACTTTTTACAGGATGATCAGATCTACTGGTGGTTTACCGGAATCATCCACAACGTTTAATAAACCGAACTGTGATAGGGACGGCCTACGCAATACAGCTAACAGTTTAAATAATGTTGTTGTTGTTACAGTCCCGTCAGTTAATCTGACAAATCCATCTACTTCAGTGATTGTTGTTAGTCAATCGACTACTACCATGTCTAGTTCTAGTCGTAATTCTCGAAATAATATTAATTACAAATGTTCATGCAAAGAGTTAGCATCTCATCCTTCTCATCGTTCTAATCATTATTCATCTGGTGTTCATTCATCACATTTTCAACATCATGGTAATCATCATCACCATCATCATCACCATCATCATCATTATAATCATCTTGGTCATAAAGAAAACTACACCTCTCGTAGTGTCGTTGAAAGTAGTAATTCATCTTCCGCCAGTGGGATAGGCAGTGGTACTAGTTCAAGTCATCATTATTCTTCACATTATTCTACATCTCATCAAACTGGTTCAACTTTTCAACAAAACTTAAGACATAATTCATTCCCCATTAAATGGAAACCAGCGATAAGTAGACACTTACAAGAGTTCATGATCAGTCGTAAGTGATTTTCATTAAGTCTGTACATGATAACAACAATCATTTTCATTTATATAAAATAAAACCAAAAGCCAAGAGCTGTATATTTCACTTAAATTTTTAAAAATTTGTAATTATGTTAACGAGAATAAATTGTGGCATAACGGTGAAAACAATAGGTGAAAAATGTATTCTAAGTTACTTCCAGGTAACATTTCAATAATTTCTTGTACTCACCTTTGTCTAGAAATTATTATGAACTACGGAGATTGCTTTAATTATTCGGTTGTATAAGTTCTTTTGCGTATATAGTAAACTGATCTAATATATCGATAGTCACAGTAAGATATGTCAATAAAAGCCATCTGAATATCCATCGAGACATAGTTTTAAAACAAACCACTTCAGTTTGGATAGCTAGATGATATCGCCATTCGTCATACAAAATAATCGGATATATATGTTAAGTACAGGTTTATCTTAAATTTAGGCTACAGCTTTTAGAGTGACAACTAGTGATATCATTCAGCTCTACAAACCGAAGTAGACTGAACATAGCTTGAATCTACAATTCACTAGCTAAGTATCGAATATTTTAACCTTCAAGCCATCAATCACCGTGCAAAAGGTTAACTCAAACTCATTTACAAAAAGATAAATGGAGTTTCTGAGTTACATCTTTCTATTTATACACTAATTAAATGACTATATTTAAAAAGGTTTCTGGTATATCCTATAATTTAAATATTGCTAATATTCAGGAACTGGTTATATAAATAATTCTTTAAATGTGCCACGTATAAATTTTGGTGATCCTAATTCCGAGGCTAGTTTTTCCGGAAAGTAGTTTTCTTCATTTTGTCAGAAATGGTGCTACTAACAGCTTAGCAGTAAGTTCACGATGAAACCCTTGGTTCATTAGTTTGTATAACTAAGTATCTTAGGAAGTGTAAAGCTTTGTATTAAATGTATCATCTCTTGCATAAGACTGAAATAGTTTATAGCCGATTTCTAGATTTCAACAGCACTACTCAAAGATCTTACTCTTTGTACAAACTAGGAGATTAATAGTAATCATAGATTGGTTAGATTAAGTCCCTAGCATAGCTTAGACACGTAATTTTCAGTTACCAAGTTACAAATGCAAACCCCAACTTCTTTATCGAAGTTTGACTTGTCAGATAATGTCAATAGATCTTACATTATAGTGTTTGGCTCATAGTTTCCTGACCAAGTAATAAAAACACAATTCTTCAATAATTAACCATATTCCAATTTAACTTCTAGTTTGTTAGGCAACCATTAAAAACGGGGAAATTCTGAATATCTGTTTCGTTCCAGTGTAGAAATAGTCGGAAGTGCATATTCATGACACCAGCGAACATCTAACCTTCAGACTACTAGACCGGGATCAAGTGATTTGATTGTCTAACTTCAGTCAGTCTGCAATACTGTTTAGCACCATCCAATGCCATTTTTAACTGTCTCCCGACATAACTAGATTCCATTGGTTACATCTTAATAGAACTCCGAGAATTATCTCTCAGAGTCAGTTATTAATAAGCACATAGTAAATTTCCAACATAGATGATTATAAAGACTGTCGAATTTTGTAGTTCTTTTCCATAGGTTGACCTTAGTTGAGCAGGTGACTGTCGAAAATAAGTGAGTCCCTCGTATGAAACTACGAAATTCGTCGATCTTTTCAATCACCGTTTACTAAAAATTCAGTTTTAACAGTTATATACTGTGAGACGTAATTCCAAGCTTAATTAGCTGGGTCTTTTTTTCTGCATTACATGGTACTAATTTGATATTTTTCTAGTATTGTTATTATTTCCTCTGATTCTTTTTTAGAATGGGAACAGTTTCATGCACATCTGTTACATTCGAATAATATTGTTACAAAATCATGCTGTACTGGAGCAACAACAATAAATACTGGTACACTGACAACAGTACCTATTAACAATCAATTTCCCACGTCTGGTGATTCTACTAATAATCATGACAGCCCATCATCATCAAATGACATGACTTCATCAAGAACTAGTTTATCTGATAATTCTTCATCAGGGCAAATCGCTAATTCCCAATCTAATAATAATGGTAGTAATAATAATAGTGGTAATAATTCACCCTCGATAATTGAATCAAATATTATTGGTCGTAGTAGCGATAGTAGAGTGAATGATTTACCTGTTACACTAGCTACTATTACTACTACTATTAGTGATACAACACATGGGTCTGGTAGCAATAATGTCAGTAGTAACACTTGTGGTGTTGTGATAAGCAATTGTAGTAGTTATCCTAGACGTAAACAAAGTTGTGGATATGTTACAAATCAAATGGGGAAGGTTATGAATACAGGTAAGTTATTGAAAAATCCAAATAATAACTAATAAGGTAATCAATGTGTTTGCTTTATTCAATCTCTATATACTTTATTTATATTAGCGTGTGGAGAAATGAAGATGATTCAAGAATATGGTAATGAATTGAGACAATTATAGAATACTTGGTTTATTAAGAGTCCCAAATGTCACTATCAAAAGCTTTGGTTCTCCTTACGCTTTCGTAGGGCTCAATATTTTTGTCATTTTGCTACATTACAAGCAGTGTTTTTCAACAAAAACATTAATTTAACTTGTAGCTCACCACCATTGTTTCCATATATTTGGTCAAGTTTCTTTAATAGATCATTAGTTTTCACAAGGTTACACTGATGAATGATAACGATTACGGAATTTATATCTAAGACTTTTCGCTAATTAGTTACAAATATATCAAATAACATGATTAGACATGAAACAGGTTTAGTGCTTCCTACTAGCTATCGGTTCCACTCCATTTCTTTAACCGTGATAGTAGTCTTATGAAATAGCCACACATTATGGCTAACAATGGAGTCCAGGACACACCTTTCTATCCTGTTTGCGATTTTCCAGTTAAATTTATTAGCATCCCTGTGTTGATATTCACAATGGGACCTCTCAATTCGTACGCTAATGCGTTATCCACTGAGTTACTGAGTTCAAATAATCACTAACTTGTTCAATGTGTATGATATTTATATCATTGTTGGTGTGTGTTTGATCAGTCTTTGTTGACATATGTCAATACTGTTCTGGTCACCTTGATAATATAAATTCTGTCACAAGTTGTTCATGGAATTGGATGCAGGTATATTCAACCAACGAGTTCCAAATTAAATAAAACATACTGTCTCCCTGGATTCATTTGCTAGCCACGATCTATCTTTTTCATAAAACTTGTAACAAAACGTCTGTATCAGGATAATCCGTACGATACACAAATGATACATGAAACAGATCTAATCAGTATTCAGTCATAAATATCAACAACGGATTAACTTAAACCCATAATAATAATATAAGTTATGTTATGGTATTTATATAGCGTCGTACATCTTTCATTCTATGGAAGAGATGTTCAGCCACTAAGTCCCAGATTCACGTCGCGCTACACCTATTTTGGTTCGGCCAACTAGATATTATCATTAGCTCTCATCATGCTTAGAGAGTGGCACATACTCAAGTACTTTGTGAATTAGTTGACTTCAGTTTCCTTTTTTAATTCCATGGAATTAATTATTTTTTTCTGACAAAATTACACATCTGAGTGATGTTCCTATCACCATAATTTTTATACACACGATGCATCCATTTTAGATCTTATCTGATTCAGAAATGTTAACAAATTATATAGTTTAATATATACTAAACTCAAATCTATACTAAACCTATAGTTTAATTTACTTCAGGATTGTCCTACGTTGGCACCCATAATAGTGATAGGAAATGAAGTGGTTGACTGTGTTGACCGCTTCAGTTAATATGGTATACCAACCTGAATCATTAATATGATGGTCCAAAAATATACGAGCAGTAACTCGAAGATACGTATGTTTGAGTACCAGTAGCCTACGAGTATCCTCTATTTTTAAAGACCATGTTTCACAGTAAAAAGTACGGAGCGAATTGCCGCCCAGAATACTCGTCCTTTAGTTGGCAGATAGATTTTTCGTCTACACCGCAAGTAACGCAAGTTGGCGAAAAACCAATCGAGCTTCCTAATTCGTCCCCAGACTTCATCACTCAATAGGGCTGTCATTTATACCCTCTTACTCATTTCAGTCTTCTCATTTTCCTGAATGAGTTTGGTGTAAATACCCGGAGTCGGATCGCAGAACTCATCAAATAATCTCTCTCTTCAGTCACACAAACAAAATGACTCAAATCTGAGCACACACTCTCATTTGGTAAATGAGTTACTATCTCTTTCTCTTGTGCCTCAAAGGCTTTTTCTCAAATTAGATTGTATTTCAGTGGCCCGTGGATCTGACTTCAAGAATATTGTAATTATTGATTGTTATTGGAGAATATATATGTTGCCTATCCTCGTACATAATCATCGACTTAAATCGCGTTAGTCAATAATGGAATTACATAAATCGAATAACGAGAATGGAATTGTGAATACATATATTTTTGTATGTAAGGCGAATGGAGTAGAAAGAAGAGAAACGACGCACAGTGGAGATGGCTGGTAAGCCAACTCACATTTAACCAAGCGTTAATCAATAGTTATGGTTACGCAAAAGTAAGTTACAGACATGTGTTGAGTAATGAGATAAGAAATGTACACACACCTACACGCTCATATAAAAACAGTCAAGATTGATAAGCGAATAAATAACAAGGTCAGAATGTGACTCAAGCAGAATGAATAGAATGGACTAGAATAAGGTATATGGGCTTGACATAATAACCGACACTACAGTATCAATAATATTGAATTATCGTGTTGCATGTTATATTTACAGCTTTTGGTGACCATCTACTTTTATCTTCTTTTAAACATAAAAATGATGCACCATAGGTTCATTAGGGTGGAAAAGAAATCAGACTTCAGGAAGAAAAAACTCATCACCTGGGAATTTCAACAACCGATATCCTGGTAAATTGAATTGTTGATATTTCACTGTTATTTTATCCTTTGACTTTAAAATGAGTGTTATATATATATTCACAATGCGAACTTTTCCACATGATTCACATGTAACTGACTCATGTTATCCTACTTACCAAAGTCAACATTTAAATGCAATTGGATTAGCACAGTAAGGATCTGATTTGATTTGTCTGTTGAACGCTATGTGCTTCGTTGATGATTTTGATTTTGATTATTACCCTGAGGAAGCCCAAACAAGTTTACGGATGAAACTTTGAAATAATTTAAATTTCAGTCGCTGAGATTATTTCAAATATAATTTTTACATATTATGACTTCTCTATACTCGGCGTCCAATTTTTGTCAAAATTTTCATTCTAATATGGAGGAATATTCATAGGTTTTAATGTTTGTGTTGAAAATTCTGATTTTGGTCCTGAGTGGCAGTTGTTTGGAGTTCCAGATGGTTATTCTATTGTAGAAATATTCCTTTTGCTTTGCCAATTTGTGCCTTCATATCTGCAGCAAATTTGTGTTAACCAATGATGCTGTCGAGGTATGTAAAAACTTTCACCACCTAAGTGTGATTTAGCTAGTGCTCACTGTGTTATATTTCAGGATCCTACTTTTCCCTTTGTAAATGTTGAGGCCTACTTCTGAGAAAGTCACTGTAACACTAGTTATCCTCTTTTGCATTTGTTTCTGCATATATGATATGGCGGTCAATTCATTTACAAAGTCCAGCTGTAGCCAAGGTGTCCACTTTATAACATACCTTTCTTGAGACATTATGGTCTTCATTATTCAATCAACAACCAGAATAAAAAGAAATGGAGAGAGTAAGGAGCCTTGTTTGACACCGGTGTTCACTTGAAATTCATTTTTAAGCTTTTCATGCATGACTTTACCATTCGGTCTCTTGTAAGAGTTCTGCATGGTAGTAAAAATCTTCTCAAGTACTCCTTAGTTTCGAAGGTTTTATAAAGTGCTTCTGTCCACGCTATCGAATGCTTTCTCATAGTCAAGGAAGTTGATGTATAGCGACAAGTTCCATTTGACTGACTGTTCAGCAGTGATCTACAGTATCACAATTTGATTGATACACGATTTATCATTACAAAATCCAGCTTGTTCACCTCGAAGCTGGGTGTCTATTAAATCCTTCATTCGGTTTAACAACATTGTTGAAAACTTTGCCTGGCACTGACAGTAGTATGATCTCTCTGTTGTTCTCAAACTACGTAAGATCTCTTCCTAGGTATTTTGATGAAAAATCCTTTCTAGTCTGTTATTACTTGTTCTTCTCAAATCTATCGAAAGAGGGTGTAGAGTGTCTTTTCAGTTACTTCTATATCTGACTTCAGCGCTTTCGCAAGTATGCTGTTTGGTCCTGCTGCTTTGTTTGATGGCCTTGCTGGTTTCCGTTATTGTTAGTAAGGTAACATCTATAAGGACGTTTATGTATATTGCTTGATGCCCGGTGGGTTCAATGGGGTCGGTCTATTCAATATACTTTTCTAAGCGTCCTACCCACCTGTTCTGCTTTTCTTGAACTTCAGTGATTGGTTTGCTTTCTTTTTTCTTAACTGGTTGTTGTAGTCTAATACGTTTTCCAGCTAGCTTATTTGTCGTATCATATAGTTCCTTCATACTTTTCACTCTTTCAGCCTTTTGTGTTGTCTTTGCCAGGTCTTCTACATATTTTGATCTTTCGGCTCTTTAATACTTTGTTCACTCATTTGCTTCTGTGTATTCGACTTGTGCCTTAGCTTCCTCTGCTCTTGTTCGACTGTTGTTGACTGGTGTCTTCTTGTTTTTCCTTTCTCGCCCATTTTGTATGCAGAAACCAATTGTATATGCTGGTGGTTCTTGCGGCCTAACACATTGCTTGTTAAAATTATTACTTCTTTAACCCATTTCCAGTTGTTATCCTTAGTCGTTTCCTGTTCTAGTAAAGTTTGAAAACTGTTGTTGAGAACTATCACGAACTCAATGAGCTTGTTAACATCTCTAAGGAAGGCTGCATTGAGCTTTTGTGATTCTATTCGTCCAGTTGTCCCATGTACAGTGAAACCAGTTGAGCCTCAGCAACGCTCCTCTTAGGCACTGCCCTGATTCTCCCATCAATTCTTCCTGAGATCTCATCTCTCTTGAACGGAAAACGAATGAAGACAGGGTTTTTGCAATCAATCGGTTATATATGATTTTTAAGATGCTCTTTTCCATTTTTCATAAGGTTTTTTTTGATTATCCATTTTTTATAAGGTTCTTTTCGATAACTGCATGTTCGTCACTTATTTTCTTTGTTTGAGCATGGCATTCTAGTTCGATTTATATATATATATATATATATATATATATATATATATATATATATATATATATATATATATATTTGTATAGCATGATGATAACTTCATTAAAAAGATATCTCTCCACTGAATTTTATGTTTTAATATTTAAATGATAATTATAAGCGTTATATTATTTGTATTACTTACATATCTAGTAAATTACTTCAGTAATCGAAACTCTTCATTCATTATATCTACTTCTACTACTACTACTACTTCTACCACTGCTACATCAAACAGTGTACTTCCTGTCGTCACGTATATTTCATCATCTATAACCACCATCACCACCACTACCACAACAACAACAACTCCAACAGTAGTGAATTCATCAAATACTGATCAAATGAGTATCACCACTGTAACCGTAAATAATCAACCCAATTCGCAGAGTTCAAATGTAATTGATTTTAAAACTAATCCTTCAGTACCCACTCTATCGTCGTCATCATCAGAGAGTTGTATACAACAGAAAGTTTCTTCTCTTCCTGAATCCAATTCAATTTTTAAAGTTGATATTTACAACACTTTGACTGTAACAAATTCAATAATAAATTCACAAAAATTGGAAATAAAAACAGAGAATATTGATAAAGTTTCAGGTAATTATTACTGTTATTAATTTAACTTGTAATGGTTTGGAATTATTCTGTTATATCTATGTCTTTTTTGACTAAAACCTGAATAATTTTGATTGAAATATGTTCACATCCTGTATAGATTGCCTTGATTTATTCAGTATTATACAAGTTATTGTAGAGTAGATGAAATGTGGTTAGTAGTAGAATACAGGATGCAAGTTAACTTTGGTGTGTAGCTAAATCCATCTGAGAAGTCTTAAGTAGAACTAAGTGTACGTCCTGATTTCCATTGGTAGCCATCATCCATTGTTGTTATTTTATCATTTTGATTATTGTAAACAATATTCGCATCTTATAATATGGGGATTTTATTGATTCTAAACTCGTTATCAAGTATTAGAAGGTATTATAAATATATGATGCACCTCTTCAGTAAGAAAGATTTGTAAACGGTTGGACAGTGGGGATATGTTTTAGTGATTCAAACATTCATCGTCATATACTCACTAATAACTAATTTCGAAAAGGGATTCTTGGAGTTCTAATCAGAAGTCGTGAACCCAATCGGGTTCAACCATCTTTGGGTTTGAGGCAGTTACCCATCAACGATTCTGCGACATCACGAATGAATTGAAATTATAAAAATAGAAAGCATTATATAACAACTCAGTAGTCTGAAAGTTCTGTGTTCGAACCCTGATGATGTCATGAATGCCCAATACTCAGGGGCCCTAGACTAGGACGAAATAGCCGTTCAACTCTTTCTGGTTTTCGATGGTTACCTAACTCAGACCAGTTCGTGATGTAGGTTGTAGACTATAAAATTCAACAATCTTTACAGAATCCTTTTACTAAGTTATTCATTTAGTTTAGATAAAACTTATGCATTATCTCCAGCTACCACCATTTAGCAAAAATGACTGGTAAATTGTACTACATAGATATTTGTATATGGTCATTGATATGAATTCAGTGCTCTTTAAAACGAACACCAGGTAGGTAGCGAAGCTTAAGAAGTTTGCGAACCTAGTGGTATCTACTTAAAATATACGTGCAACACGGTTTCTTGTGCTCACTCCTAAATTTACCGCATCCGCTCCACTGGCTTACATAAATAAATAAATAAATTGTCTTACAAATGTGATTTGTTGTGTTTATTTATTTATTTGAACACATAAATATTGGTACAAGAGAGCGCCAATATATATGCGTGGTGTGTAACATGTATCAATTCATTTAACTCATTGGTGAAGAAAATCTTTGAATGAACCGTATCCAATTTAAGCTTTCCTATGACACTGCTAAGTAGTTTGGAGCCATTTATGATCAGACTGTTCGGCGTGTGTTCCGAAATTCTAGATAATATCGTCTTCACTGCATCCCAAAATATTTGTTGTCCTTGCTTTGCGAAAACATTGACAGTGACGAAAATAACAATTGTATTAACGTATCACTAAACATATCTGTTGTTCAGAATCATCCATAAACAAAATTATTCACTTAATTTTCCTTTTCTATTATCCGCATTCTTCGTCACCTCTTAAATATGAATAACGTGTACTTTGCCATTTTTCTACCTAACATTTATTAAAAATAAGTTTTAAGCTTTACTAATAGCAGCCATGGGACACAATGTTTCCTCCCCTTTCTCATTTAATGTGTAAAAGTTCCCAATTATTCATTCATTCATTGTTCTAGATATGAAAATTCATGTTAACAACAACTGTGTTGTTATAGCACAACAACATCTGTCTGACTTACATCTTACCAGTGGTGATGATAATAATAATACAATTGTTAAGTTGAAAGAAGATATTCCAGTTGACGAATCGACGAAAAGTTCATGTGTTACTTTATCCAATTCATCATTTTTATTATTGCCTGAAGAAGAGAGAACATCAACTACTGCATTGATTTCGAAAGTTGATCAGGAAATCGGAAGTTCTATTAGCTGTGGAAAAGTTGAAGAAGGTTAGCGAATAATTATAATTTGTCTTTGTATATTCACAATATGTTTGCCAACATATAAATTAATAATCTACACTAAATCAGATTGTTACAGATATTGACATGAGCTCGAAGAAAGATTGTTAACTAGAGATGATTAAGTTCAGGTTTGCATGTAATAACGAACTAATCAAGATTAAGACAGGGACCTCAAGGTCATGGTATATATATCATTCATCCTCTATGTAATAGTTAATTTTAATGAATAAAACATCATCACTGATATACATGACTGTAGATTGTTAATAAAAGCGCTCATGAATTCGAAGATGAAATGATTATGAATAAATTTAATGAAGTAAGAGATGATATAATATGTCACTTCAGTGTTTGGTAGAAGCAGGCTTTATGATACATGTAAACTGAACGTAAACTCTAACGTCTAAAATACCGTAGCCAACGTAGAAAAGTTCATTAATTATGTTAAAATAAGTTATTCATTGATTTCATACTTTAATTCATTCATATTTACCTCTTTCTGATTGACTGAAAGCTTCTCAAGGTCAGCGTATATGTCTCAAGTTCGACGTTATAACTATAGTCATTTCGTTATAGCTTAGAACTATTTAGTCAGTACAATCAACTACACACAACTGGACTGCTGAGGAGTCCTATGATATGACGAAACGATCGTCCACTGCCTCCAGGTTTTCAATGGTGGTATAATATCAATCGATTCATGATCTCAATGAAAAACTAAGGATTGTTAAGTTTTGTCCCGAATATTTATTATATTTACAAGTTTTGTGAACTGAGTTCTGAGCAACATTTACATTTTGAAGATATTACTGTACTTTCACCATTTAAAGAAAATTAGTCATTAAAAATGTCTTCATGTAAATTCATTTGAATAACCAGTGATCAATATGTTATTATTCTATCTAGAATGCAATAACAACGAATCTTTCATGTTCTGTGTACTTCATTTCAATTAACAAAACAAGTACTTTTATTTAGCCTTGCCGTACATCATGTCATACATTTTTATGAAGTTTTGTTTATCCACCAATCAACTTACTACCGGATTCTGAGTTAGTAAAGTCTGGTTAACATCACTTCGTGACGTTAAATTAACGCACCATTGGAAACTAGGAAATGCATAGGATATTTAGCTGTTTTGTCCTAGTTTGGGACTTCTTGGTGTTGCACATCCACGACTCCACAGGTTTTAAACCCGAAACGTCCTATGCGACCTCTAGTTTTTCATTCTTATACCATAACTGGCATCCAATGATGCATGCTAGTGTCTCACTTCAATTAAGCATCTATACAGTGACGTGTAGCATGTTACGAACATTCACCGTTTGCTAAGTTCTAAAAAAAAACATGAAGTTTCATATCCTGTATTCCGAAATTCTAGAATCCCCCCTTAGATTAGAATATAATTTCATATCAGTGAATTCTGCATAAATTATCAACTTACATATATCTATTGTTCTTCCTGTACATCAAAATTTTATTCATAAGTCTGGGGTTTTTTCACAGTCATAAATAGTAGTTGTAGAGTCAAATTTGATATAGTACTGTTTTTAGATGATATTGATAATGTGTCACGAACTCGACATTTCATCTGAGTGAATTCAGTGCAATTTAGTTATTCACTTGTCGATTTGTTCACTTCCCATAATTCTATTGCAATCGATATTCATTATTTAGGACCAACACTATCCTTGAGGATTATTAAACGTTTCTTAGTATGTAGCGTTAAGTTCTAACTTCTTCAGCTGTGAATTACATAACTAAACGAATTTGTTTGGACAACCAGAAAGCATTAGACAGTTGTTATAGGGAATTAGCCCTCACCCTGCAGAACTACCAGGTATTGAGCCTAGGACCATCAGGAAATGTAAGTTATTAGATGCCACTAGCTAATTAACCTGAATATGATGAACTTTCTGTAGGATCTAGTGGTCATGAGCTCGAAATATTGTAGCAAACTCCCGAAGGATCTTATATAAAGACGAATTAACTGCTCAGTGCTCCATGGTTTCCATTAGCTGCCTAGTTAAAGCCACCACATAATATAAGCCATTGTAGTGGCTGTGCTTCGTTGACCAATCACCCTCGTAACCGTTGCCATAAAATCCTCAACGGTGTTTGATATATATATATATATATATATATATATATATATATATATATATATATATATATGCGTAGGCGGTAAGCAATGTTCAAGCCTACATATTTTATACAAGCACAACAATAATAAAGGTACAATAAGTTGGTATAGTACGGATGACTTTTTCCGCTAAATGAATTAACAAAAGGTCTTAACTGAGTTAAATGAGAACAAACCTGAGTTGCACCTGAGTTGCTATACCATAAATCAAACGTTCCCTCTTAGATTTTTTGACCCATTGCTAAAAGAATCTATTTAAATGAAATTCCATACAGCTTTCTTAAAATTAATCAGTACCTGTTTACAGTAAGATCCTGAAACGGCTTTTGTTTCACATCCATAGGTTGTATATTTAACAAACAGTATCTTCATTGGGAATTTTTTTGACTGTGATGTTTTTTTCTTTCTCTCAGTTACAATGTATTTTGTGTGTTATGTAAATTATTTTCGTATAGTCCTAAACACATGCAGGTCTTTTTCCCAATATAGGTGAGTGCTACTGTACTCCGGATCCCCCAGCCTCTCCTGAAAATAACACTACCCCACATGAAAATTATTCCAGTAGTTATCATTCAATTAGTGTATCTCCAAGTCCTCCACAACTATCAGCTTCATTACCATGCTCAAAAGATCTAAACACTACTGCCTATCATCCACCACTTGGTATCCGCACAGAATTATCTTCAATGCTTGATTTTCGTCGATGCAGTCAACTCAGAGATTCTCCTCTTATCTCTTCATCTAACAATAGTAGGTTAGAAAGCCTCAATGATGTTGATTAAAATTCTAATCAGCATTCGTTTTCTATTGTCTGTTATAATCATCAATATTTAATTGCCTCCAGGTTTTCTTTATTTTGGAAAAACTAAAAACCCATTTTATTTTCGTTTTGACCAATTGACAAACCGGTGGGTTCCTCCGAACCTGCACTTACGCTTGTCACATTTTTCTTATACTGCATTAAATTGTTTTAGTCTCCTATTTATCTGATCTATTTACCTATATAATTATACAATAAAATCTATGATTTGGGACTGTATAATAATTTTATTCAGTTAATCATATAACTTATCATTTGAGCGGATTTTGCATTTGCTTATTTGTTATTTTTAACTGCGAAGTTGATCAATTATCATTTACTGATTTTGTTTAACTACTGATATCGTTTGTTAGTAATATAATCTTTTATTTCATTTTGTTTTTACCCCAATACTTTTATTTTTATCGTTCGTTCAAGGGGATTAATAATATAAGCTGGTAATTTATTTATTATTGTTATTATTCTGTGTAGGTATCTTTTATGCTGCCAACTGTATGTTTATTTATGTTGTGTTGTGCATTTTCCAGGTTTTGTCCCCTCCTCACAGCCTCAATTTGAAATTTTTCTGTGCTATTATGGATGATTTCCATAGTAGTAGTATTATTAGTATTGTTTATTTCTTATTTGGCTGATTTTTCATGTTTTGATTTTATAATAATACATTTCAGAGTAGAGGTTTTTTTTACTTTGCCATCTTACTGTCGACATAGTGATGATAGAACTACTGTGCTTGCTGGTTGAAGTATTAACTTGTCAATCTGCGAGTAACGGGCTTAGATCGAGCTTCACGTAATTGGGTTTGAGCGGTGGGTTAGTACTAATTGCTTTTACATGAATGCGACTTAAAGTCTGGTATTTGAGCTCTTATTAAATTACTGGGTTTATTAACAGAGCTCTTTAATCCAGTCCGGTATTTTTGAATGAAGTTACAGTTAGGGCATCGTAATATGTAGTGGTCCAAAATATTTCAATACATAGGGCCGGAATATTTCATCTCTTACGATTTTGATGGCTCTATGTAATCGGAAAACTTCAACGATCTATTTAACTCATTATCTACATTGTAGTATTTTACTTATACACTTCTATTTATTCTAACGGTAATTGCATATTTAATCAGGCATTCTAATGAGCATTGTATATTTAATTGGACATCCTAATGTATCTGGATTAGTTCTCTTCGTGCAACATGGCAACCGCTTACTCTTTACCTGAATGTGTATTTTACTTATTTCAGTAATTTGACCATTACTTCAATCTTATAGAAGTGATATCATTTTCCATAAATGTTACAAATTGTGATAAAAGTGAACACAGGGCACTTGATGTTGTGTCACATAAACTAGTGGCCTCATTTCAAATTGATCGATAGAATTCGATAAACACGAATAAGAATTTAACATAAATAGCATTGGCCATTACCCAGTGATCAATTAATTTTAAATACGTCTCAATCCTTTAGGAGGTCAGTCGTATCCCGGATAGCTCAGTTATAACGTTTCTGACTGTGAAGCTGGGTGATACTGGGTCAAGTTCATCAGGGAGGATCATTCTCCTCAAGACTGCAGGTGTACCTTGCTGACGAGTGGTGAACAGCGTAAAACACAGGTTTAGAGCCTCCTGCCAACTATCTGTAATCACTACTATACATGGGACTTTCAATACTTGTACCACAATTATAATAACGCTGGCATTAGAATTACTAATAATTACTATAGCATGGAAATACTCCGGAATTGTAATGTAATCAAATGTATCCAGGATTAAACTAGATAGACTTGGTCTGAAGTGTGTCTGGAGTGTCAAGTAATTAAAATGTGTCCAATATTAATAGATCAGACCGATAAAGGCCTAATAGAAAGATCCAGATGATTGTTTAGAATTGATTACGTAATTGGGTATAAAATAACCAGCATAGTTGGTTTAATACATTTGATAGTCATGATTGATTATGTCTTGTATTCCAAAATGGGTGTACAATGGTTTGAACCTCGTATACTTGCATTAGTCATCGAATACCAGTCAGATTTGGGGATAATTTGTCATTATGTGCCATTTAATAGATATTTTAATCAAACTTCATAAATAAAGGTAATTGTTGCTGTTTGTACATAATGTCACCGCATGAGTGTTTTTTTTAAACAAAGATTTGGATAGTCTGATGTATGCCAGGTTATGTGCGGTAGAGTCAAAATATTGCAAATCTCCAAATTCACTGGGCTTGCTCTCTAACACCAAACATTTAAACCACAATTCCTTTAAGATAATAAGAAATGATCTTAAACCTCAGTTCCTTTATATCCCTAGACAGGTAGGAGAAATAAACATCAGCAAAATGTGATTGTTTTATGATAATATGAGAAAAAATTTGTGATATATTTAAGCTATCCCGATCGTTGCTGCTACCTTGACGTGATGGTCGGGTTTGTCTATCGTGAACATATGCCTGAATCTCTCTGGACGTAGGGAAACCACATTACGAAGACCCATTAGAGTCTCACTCAGTGACGAGGAAGCTAAAAGTAGATTCCAGGAACAACCGAGGTCACATTTAGGTAGTTCTGAAAACGAGGCTGACCGAGATGTTGCTTGGAAAGATATACAAGCAGCTGTGGAAACGGTAGTGATATCTATTTGTGCTTTAAACCAAAGGGTTATGAAAAATCTGTGTATTCCTACTTAGTCTCTTGCACTGATAAATTATCGTAGACTCATCCTATCAGGCTCTGAACACGATGAAGAACGAAAACAAATCAGATCTAGGTTAACCGAAAGTCTAAGGAACGACCGTGAGCAGTGATCGTATCCTAGATTTGTTGAACATGTTCCAAAAAGCCTCAGAACAAGAGAAAGACTAAACAATGCAATCGCCAAACATCTCACAAGACATCAGGTCGATATCTTGCAATCTTTCAAGGTGATTAGTAAGCACAGATCACCTACTTTAATGATCTGCAGTAGCTTGCGAATAGTTCTTTGAGTTCACAGTCTGAAAATCCTGACCCTATATTTTACTTAAAAACTATAATGTACTATTTATTCATTATTCCATTGGGATCAACCATAATATTAGCTTTTACATTAAACCAGGACATTACATGATACACTTGAGATATACCAGTAAATTACATAGCAGTATTGAACTACAATTTAATAAATCACAAAAAGTTAAGCGAAATTCAGTTTAATAGTGGAGTTCAAGAGTCAATTGAAGCTAGACCACTATGGAAAACCTAGAAGCACTGGACAGCCGATTCGTCCTAGTATGGGACTCCTCAGCAGTGCGCATCCCTGAATAGACGTCATATTTCTAAATAAACATAGGAACTTTATCTCGGAGATACTAGTCTCTGTGTAACATACAGAACAGCGAACCATTTAAAAATATTTTATTTTCAGTAAAAAATTACATAATATTTTGATTTGTTGACTCTGATACTTTAGCATTCTTGCAGGGAAAAATATAAGGTCGTAAACGTTGAACCATTCTCTGTCTTCAGAGAAAATATGATAGTTTTATGTGATATATCCAGGATCAATCTGATAGGATTCCACCTTCATGGTATAGTGAACCTGTTATATCTGGTCGTCGCTGATTGTTGTGCCGGAAAAAACGATGATCACTTATACTCGGAACGAGGGACCTCTTCAGAACCATTAAAATGACATTAACTAAAGGCTACTGAGTGGTAATATCATTGCTAATTTAAAATATGCTATATTTCCTGGTTATTGTGTTATCATAGCGAGATATGTTGACAGTATTTCTTTTGAAGCTATTGGAAATGATCTATTAATCATACGTTCTCGATCGAAGTCATTTACAATAACTGTAGATGACAATCATCACTCCAGCTGTGGCAAACACACATTCACAATACTTAGAAAGATCAACTTGAGTAGATGATTACAACCAATAGGATCCTTAAATCAAGGTGATTTCATGAATAGAAAGATAAGAAAACCACTGATTCTGAATAGCAGTGTTTCTTATTTTAAATCAGATGATGGAATCTTTTCCCCGTTAAACAATTGACAAATCTATAACGCAACGCATTAACAAAGTAGAACGATTCTATACGGTAACTGGATGCAACTCTTCTTCAGTAATTTTGTTAAGAATGTACGGGAATGACTATACCAATCAAACAGTGAGCTAAATACATCGCGAATATTGAAAATCATGACATTGGGTACATTAACGCAGTGGTATATAGTCGACGAATTTTGAAGAAAATCAGTTTTCTGTCTTAAACTACTCGAAATGAACTATATAGCTACATGTCTGTGGAAAATAAAGGAAGTAGTTCGTAGTAGAACGCATTTGTTGGAAAAACAACGACGTATATTACAGCAAATGAGTTAAGTCGATAAGTTTAATAATATGGTTGTCTAATTCTTAGTGCGAAGCCGATCCTCACTTATTGTCTTACCAATTTATTTCAATAGAACAACTAAACATATGACTTACCACAGCTGTTTCTATCATCAAAATCTATAAAATAAACAGGATAGTTCCATTGTATTGACTTTAGGTTGTCCATTTTTAACTTCTTCTCTTGCATTGTTATGCAATGATAATAACGTGTTTCCCAGTGTATCATTCATTTCCACCTAAGGATAACTAAATGTCAGTAAATATATCGATCAAAATGTAGTTATAGTGTTTGATATTGTGTATTCATTCAACAGTTGGTGTCTAAATAATAAGCCAAGAGATATTTATATATAAATATCGATTAACTGAAAATCATCACCTCAGTGAAATCAATTTTTTGAGAAGATCAGGTTTAAGTCAATTAGTTTTATTTACTAGAGATTAAATTGTAACGTAAATTGATCAATTAATCTACAGGAGTTAATCTATAAAGTAAGGGCATAGATTTTACACAAGTCAATGTTATTTTAAACATTGATCAACTGAACGATCAGGGGAGCCGTGCTATAGTTATGGCATATAATGTCATTAAAAAAAACTCTCTCCCAAATCTAGACCATAAAGCATAATGAAATCTTGGAAATTGATTCATACAATGATATAACCTTATCATCATAATGTTGAGTCATTATGTGAATTCATCTACAAGACCAAACTATGCGTCAATTTCAGAAGGAATTTAGACATTCATGAGGAATATTTAGTTGCAGATATTTTAACCTTTAAACACATTAGAAATATAAATTTGAATGTGTATCGACTTTTTTCCATTCTTTTAGGGCCAGTGAAACGTTAACGAATCTTAGACAAATCATCCATCAGGTTGAATAATTTCCAAGTTAGATAACATATCACTGATAGCTGAACAGTCTATCGACCGTCTTCAAGGCCAAGGGTGAATAACATGGATTATTCAATTTAACGCCATGGACTGGCCCATGATACGGTGGTTGCACTCTGTATTTATCTAGTCTTCCTAATACATTTCTCGACTGTCATGTTTGTTCAATATAGTTGTCTAAGGAGTCACAGGACGTGGATAACGTGAAGGACAATTCACTTTAAGTATTATTCGCGAGGTGTGACCTCGATGGAAGCCATACCATTACTCTGTAACTCGAGAAGACAGTGATTATTTCCAACATTAACAAAAATATAATGGTTATTGATTGTCTAAGATGTTCATTATTAAATATGTCCAATGATTTCTAACATATTTGTAGCATGATGTCTTC